ATGCAGGATGTTACTACTAGGGGAAACCGAGAAAAGGGTACAAGAGATCTCCCTGTATTATTTATTACAATTGCATATGAATCTAACAATATCTCAAATATTGAAAAGTTTAATTTAAAAAAATGAACAGCTGTACTGTACTTATTTAAAATTACTCCGAGAGATCATATATGTTAATTTATGGTCCTAACTAAGACTTGTGATTAGAATGCACACAACATAATCTCAGACTTAAAAACTCTATTTTGAGCCAGTCCTGATATCCTTGTGGTTTAAAGTTCACTGCTCACTGCTTTGGAGGTGTGGGTTCACTTCGTGGTCACAGAACCACATCACCCATCTGTCAGTTGTCATGCTGTGGCAGCGGCTCAATAGAAGAACTAGAATGACTTACAACTAGCATATAGAACCATCCACTGGGGCTTTAGGGAGCAGAAAAAAGAAAAAAAAAGAAGAGGAAGATTGACAGCAGATGTTAGCTCAGGACAAATCTTTCTCTGCAAAAACCCCCAAAAAGCCAAAAAAAGCAAAAAACTCTATCTTGATTGATTTTGGCAAAAATCATCAATAGGTGAAACCATAAGATGAAAGATTGATGGGCACTTTCCAGTTTACCACATAAATTCACTGCTTGATCTCAGCTTTACTGGGAGTGGGTCACTCAGGCTATTTGTGCCTCCTTGATGTGATGCTTCAAGAAGTACACAGCACCATTGACGAACTATTCTTACAAAAAAAAAAAAAAAGAAAGAAAAGAAAAAGACAAAGAAGCTTAACTAGGGTGTGATCTAGCCTTTAGCACTAACTTCCATTTGATAAGAAGTATGAGAGGATAGAGGAACAAGTTGATTGGAACTATGACTATGCAAACAGAATGTGGGACATACTGTGGCTCAACTTATGGGTCTCTTCAACAAGTAAATGCATCAAAATATTTAAAATAAGACAAGAAATATAACAACCAGATGCAATGTGTAAATCATGTTTGGATCCTAATTCAAACCAATTGAAATGCACATTTTTTAAAACAATCAGGGATATTTGAATACGGATGTGGTATTAGGTGACACCAAGGAATTGTTAATTGTGTTAGGGTGGCAAAGGCATTGTAGTTATGCAGGAAATTGTCTATCATTATTACTCATGCCCAGTGGAATATGTTGGGATAACTAGTATTTCCAGTACAATGTTGAATAAACGTGGTGAGAGCAGACATCATTGCCTGGTTCCCAATCTTGGGGGAAAGCTTTCTGATTTTCACTATTAAATATAATGTTAGTGATAGGCTTGTTTTACATGCTGTTGATCAGTTTGAGGAAATTTCCTTCTCTTTCTAGTTTGCTGAGAAGTTTTTTTTTTTTTTTCTTTCTTGAATAGGTATTGAATTTTGTTAAATGCTTTCTCTGCATTTATTGAGATGGTCATATGGCTTTTATTTTTTAGCCTGTTATGATACTCAATTATACGGATTGACTTTCAAATAAAGCCAACTTTATATTCCTGGGATGAAACTCAATGAGTCCTGATGTATTACCTTTTTATATATCACTGAACTCCATTTTTTCAAGGATTGCTAAAGGACTTTGTGTCTAGGTTCATGAGGGATGTTGGCATGTGGTTTTGTTTTCTTTGTCTCATTTTGTATCTGGGTGAAGCTGGCCTCATAAAATGAGTTGGGAAGTGATCCTTCCTCTTCTATTTAGTAGAAACATTTGTGTAAGAATTGGCATTGTTTCTTCCTTTAATGTTTGGTAGAATTCACTAATGAAGGCACGTAGACCTGGTGTTTTCCTTGTGGGAATATTGTTTTAATGAAGAATTCAATATCTTTAATATCTATAATATGATTCAAATTATCTATTTCTTTTTGAATGGGCTTTGGCAATTTGTGTCTTTCAAGGAATTTTTCATTTCATCTAATTTATCAAATTTATTAACATAGAAGTATTCATAATAGTCCCTTACTATCATTTTAATTTCTGCAAGATTTGTAGTGATGTGTTTTCTTCTGTTTCTGAAATAGACAATTTGTGTCTTCTCTCCTTTATTCCTGATCAGTTTGTCTAGAAGTTTATCAATATTATTGATCTTTTCAAAGAACTTACTTCTGGTTTTATTGATGTTCTCTTTTGTATTTCATTTGTTTTGGCTTTTATCTGTATTACATCCTTCCTTCTAATTTTGGGTTCAATTGGCTCTTCTTTTTCTGGTTTCTTAAAGTGGAAGCTTAGATCATTGATGACACATTTCTTCATTTGTAATATGTCTACATAGTGCTATAAATTTCCCTGTTAGCACTACTTTAGCTGCATCTCAGAACATTTGGTATATTATATTTCCACTTTCATTTCGTTCAAAATATGTTTCACTTTCTCTTGCAATTAGTTCTTTGATCTATGAGTTATTCAGAAGTGTGTTATTTAATGTCCAAATGTTTGGAGATTTTTCCAGAAATCAATCATTTTCTTGTTGATTTCTAGTGTAATACCATTATGGTCAGAAATGTGAATCCTTTTAAATTTATTAAGACTTGTTTTAGGAACCCAAATATGGCACATCTTGGTGAATATGCACCTGAAAAGAATGAATATTCCGCTGTTATTGGGTTTTCTGTTAATGTTAATTATGTTAAATTGGTTAATGGAGTTGTTCGGTCTTTTATATCTGTTATATCTTTACAGAGTTTCTGTCAATTATGATTAATGAGTGTTCTACAATTACTGTCATGTGCTGCATAATGATGTTTTGGTCAATGACAGACTGCATATATGACAGTGGTCCCATAAGATTAGTACCATGTAGCCCAGGTGTGTAGTACACTATACCATCTAGGTTTGTGTAAGTACACTCTATGATGTTCACACGATGACAAAATTGCCTAATGATGCATTTCTCAGAACATATGCCCTTCATTAAGCAACACATGACTGTACTGAGGGAGGAGTGTTGAAATCTCCAAATATAATTGCCTTTTTGTTCATTTCTTCTTTAGTTACATCAATTCTTTTCCTGTATTTTGATACTCCATCATTAGGTGCATACAACTTTAGGATTGTTGTCTTGATTAATTAACCTCTTTGTTGTTATGAAATTTCCATTTGTCTTTGGTAGTATTCTTTGTTCTGAAATCTACTTTGTCTGAGATTCAGATAACCACTCCAATTTTCTTCTACTTAGTTTTGTCAAAGTATGTCTTTTTCCATCCTGTTACTTTTAAGCTATCTCTGTTTATATATTTCAGTGGGATTCTAGCACTTACCATATAGTTGGGTTTTGCTTTTTTATCCATTCTGACAATCTCTGCCTTTTATTTGGGAATGTTTATATCATTTCTATTTAATGTAATTATTGGTATGATTGTGCTTAGATCTGTCTTGTTATTTGTTTTCTATTTGCTCTGTCCATTCTAAGAGCCTTTTTTCATCCTTATCTGCCTTCTTTTGGCTTACTTCAGTATATTTTAATGAATAATCTTACCTCTACTGTTTCTTATTAGTCATACCGCTTTGTTTCATTTTATTTCAGTGGTTGTTTTAAGGTTTATGATTTGCATTTTTAACTTATCACAGTCCACCATCAAATCATAGTACCCCAGTTCACATACAGAATGAGACCCTGAAACAGTATACTGCCATTTCAACCCCTCATTTCATTTGTGCTCTTCTTTTCATATAGTTTACTTCTACTTTTGTTACAAACTACGTTTTTATAATAAACAATACATGACTATTATTTTTTCTTTAAACTATCAAGTATCTTTATTTTCCAAGTTTTGTATTTATATATGATATACATGTTGTAATTTCACCCTTTTTAGTGTACAGTTCTGAAAGTTTTGATGAATGTGTAGAGTCATGTAATTACCACCACAATCAAGATACAGAACAGCTCCCTGACCCCACAAAACTCCCCATGATTCTTCTCTCCTCCTACCAGCAGCCCCTGGTAACCACTGATCCGCTTCTCTAGTGTTGCCTTTGCAGGAGTGTCCTATAAATGGAACCAGGTGGTATGTAGCCATTGGAGGCCGGCTCAGCAGTTGAGATTGATCCACATTATTGTGTTTCCAGTAATTCATTCCATTGTATGAATATAGCACAGTTTATTTATCCATTCTGCAGCTGGGGGGCTGTTGGGTCATTCCCAGGTTTACGTAGTTACAAATCAAGCCTCTAGAAACACTCGTGTATAGTTTTTTGTGTGAACGTAGGTTTGTACTGAGTCATGTGGTAAGCATATGTGTAACTTTAGAAAAACTCAACGATCTTTCAAAAGGTTAAAAATGAGAAAAGGTCTTTTAATTTACCCACATGTACCATTCCCAGCAATCTTCCTTTTTTGGTGTCTAAATCCAAATTTCCTTCCGTCTAAAGAACTGTTTCAAATATTTCCTATAGCGAAGGTTTGCTAGGAGTTCTGTCTACTTTTGTTTGTCTGAACAAAGTCTTCATTCGGCCTTCACATTTGAAAGGTGTTTTCCCTTGGGTAGAGAATTCGAGGCTAACAGTTCCTTTCCTCTAATACTTGAACATTTCTTTCCACAGGGACGCTGGCTGGAGCTTCTGGCAAGTTCCAAGGAGAGAACCACAGAGCCGACCTCTGGGACCGCATGGCGGCCGGACAGCCCCGAGGGCCACCACCCCTGAGCCAAGGCCTCATTCTAGGTCCTTTAGCGCTTAGGAAAGCCCCCGTCGGGAGGGCTCAGGGACCCCGGGACCGTTCAGGCGCGAAGCCAAGGGAGGTGGGGAGACGCCGCACAGTGTCCCCCGGAGTTCCAGCTCTCAGCTTTCGGGTTCGCTCCCCTGGAAGCGCAGACGGTCCCCCGTGCTCGGCGGCAGCCGCGTGCGTGAGGGGGTCCGCGCACATTTTGGCGGCTCCTCCGCTCCCCCTGCTCCCCCGCGCGCTCCACCCCCAACGCCCGTGGGCGGGGCCCAAAGCACGCTTTTTAAAGCGGCGCCCGGACCTCGCACCGACACTTGTCGCTGACCGCTGCGCCCGCTCCCGTGCTGTCCGAGTGTCCCGCCGCTCCATGTCCCGGCTGCTGTCTGCCCCGCGGGCCGCCTCGGGCGCCCCGGTCCGGCCCGCCACCGTGCTGGGCGCCATGGGGATGGGGGGCAGCTTGGACGCAGCCGCCAGCGCCGCGGCCGTGCGCGCCTTCCTGGAGCGCGGCCACACCGAGATAGACACGGCCTTCTTTTACACCGACGGCCAGTCCGAGAGCATCCTGGGCGGCCTGGGGCTCGGGCTGGGCGGCGGCGACTGCAGAGGTAAGGCCTGGCGCCCGCGCCCCGG